CTGGAAACAGAAGAAATCGAGAACAGCAAAGGCGATTCTGGGCAACAAAGGCAAGACAGGAGGCATCTCAATTCCTGACTTGCAATAATACTACAAAGCCACAGTAATTAAGCCAAGCATGGTACTGGCAAAGAAATAGACCTGAAGATCAGTGGAATAGATTAGAAGATGCAAATACTACTACAAAGACATTCAGCCATCTTATATTTGACAAAGGGGCTAAACATGATCACGGGGGAAAAGATAGCCACTTTAACAAATGGTGTTGAAAATACTGGTTTTCCACATGCCAAAGACTGAAAACAGACCCATGCCTATCACCATGCATTAAACTAAAGTCAAAATGGATCAAGGATCTAAATATTAAAATAGAAACACTAAATCTACTGAAGGAAAGGTGGGTAAAAATCTTGGAGACGTAGGGGTAGGCAGAGAATTCATGAACAAAACACAAACTGTATGGGAAATACTTCAAAGAATTAACAACTGGGATCTCATATTACTAAAAAGTTTCTGTACTTCAAAAGAAATCACCAAGAAAGTCAAAAGAAAACCCACAGAATGGGAAAGAATTTTAGCCAACAATCCCTCAGACAAAGGACTTATATCCAGAACATACAAAGAACTGACAAACATCGACCTTCCCTCAAATTCAAAGCCCCTCTCCAAAAATGGGCATCAGAGGTGAACACACAGTTCTCAGATGAAGATATACAAATGGCAAATAAATATATGAAGAAATGTTCACCATCACTGGTGATTTGAGAAATGCAAATTAAAATAGCATTGAGACTTCATCTCACCCAGGAAAGAATGGCTGCCATCAAGAAAACAACTGATAACAAATTCTGGCAAAGATGGGGTGGGGAGGAACACTTCTCCACTGTTGGTGGGAGTGCAAACTGCTGCAACCACTGTGGAAATCAGTATGGAGATTCTTCAAAAAACTACAATTGGAAGTTCTATTCAACCCAGCTGTTCCCCTCCTGGGTATTTTCCCAGAAAAACTGAAAAAGTCATGTCACAGTGATAAATGTGCACCCATGTTCATAGCAGCCCAGTTTGTGATAGCTCAGTCTTGGAAACAACAAAAATGCCCATCAACTGCAGAGTGGATGAAAAACATGTGATATTTTTATACAACAGAATACTTCTAAGCCATAAAAAATGATGATCTTGAGGCTCTTATAGGTAAATGGAGGCAGGTTGAGAATATCCTCATTAGTGAAATAAACAAGACTCACATTAGTAAATATCACATTTCTCTCTAGTGCAAAAAAAATAAAAACTGACAGGATAATGGGATCCAAAAAGTATAATAGATATTGTGAATATGAAAGGGAAGGAAAGTGCTCTAAAGGGTATAACAGTATGTATAATATACAAGATAGATGACCATACTACTGAATTTCTGTTGGAACAGTGAACAGAATGATTTGCACTGTCATTGTTTAAGAATCTAGCCACTATGCCTTGATTTTGTGACTTTGGCAACTATTTTTTAAGATGACAATGAGTAATATATCAACCAGCAATTTTATGATGTTGCTTTTTAAATTCGGTATTGTACCTTTTTTCTGCTTTTCTATTTTCTCTAATTTTCTTTTCTTTCTGAAAAAAGGGAACAATGTGCAATATAACAACCATTATTAAATTTCTTTCATTCTGTTTTGAAAACCTATATTGTTATGTTTTGAGTTTGCTATTGTTATCTGTTTTGGCTTTTCTTTTTCTGATTTTTTTCCTTTTAAAATAAAATTTAAAAAATAAAAAAACAAAAAGGGGGGAAAAGCATGCTATCAGAGTAAAAAGAGAGCTTAACCCGCATATCTAGTATAAGTGCTGCCAAAGCAAGCACACTAATCCACCCCTGGAAAGCCAACAGGTTATTCACAACAGCACTAAGAACACGCACTAGGGGAATGAGAGCCTCTTCAACAAACAGTTCTAGGGAAATTGGACATCCACATATAGCAGGCTGAATTTAATTCCTGATTTCTCACTATATATAAAAACACAGAATGTATTAAAGTAAGGCCTGAAGCCAAGAAACTACTAGTAGAAGAAATGCTTCAGATCATTGAAATAGGCAATGGTGTTTTTAGACAATAATCTAAAACTCAAACAGAAGAAAAAATAGACCAAAATTTTATATCAAAGTGAAAAAACTTTGCATGGAAGAGAAATAACCTGCTGAATGGAATAAAATATTTACAACTCATAGGATATTACAACTTAATATCCAGAATATTAACTCAATAACAAAAATAACAGTCATAATAATAATAACCTGACGGGCATTTAGCTCAGGGCACAAGTACCTGCCTAGCAAATGCAAGGCTATGAGTTTGATTCCCAGTACCAAAAATAACAATAATAATAATAATAACCTGATTAAAATGAGTAGTAGATCTAAATAGACACTTCTTTTTTTTTTTTTTTCTGAACTCACGACTGCCTGCTAGCAAGGCAGGCGCTTATGCCGCTGAGCTAAACCCCCCGCCCCTAAATAGACACTTCTTAAAAGAAGACATGCAAATGATCAATATATACATGAAAAAAACTCAACATCACTACTTATTCAAGAAATGCAAATCAAACTCAAAATGAAATGTCACCTCACTTAATTATAATATCTATAACCAAAAAGATAAAACATGACAAGTACTTGTCAGTATGTACAGGAAAGGGGACCCTTTCATGTTATTCATGGGAATATAAATTAGTACAGTTATTATGGGAAAACAGTACACAAGTTTCCCAGAAATTAATGTTACCAGGTGATATAGCAATCCCACACCTGAACATATATACCAAGTAAATTATTTGTTGACGAAACATGAACAAAACCATATTAATTAAGAACTACTCACAATAACCAAGAAATGGAAACAACTTAAGTGTTCATCAATTGATGAATGGCTAATGAAAATGTAATATATCTTTAGATGGTGGAATATTAACAACTATTTAAAAGGATGAAATCCTATTAATTTTCCCAAGGTAGAAACCAGGAGAACAATATGTTAAATGAAATACTGGTGGCACAAAAGAGACAAATAGCACATGATTTCACTCACATGTGAAATCTAAAACATTGATCTCATGGAAGTAGTCTCAACAAAGGCTAAAATGAAGAAGGAAAGAAGGCTTGGCAAGTGAGAACTAAGTTACAGTCAGATTGAAGAAATAATTTATGGTGTTCTACTGCACAGTTGGTTGATGACAGATAAGGATACTTACTATATGATAGAGGGACAAAAAGGGACTTTGAATATTTACATCACAAAGAAATGAGGAAATATGTATGCTTATCCTGATTGAGAAACCACATCGTGTACATATCTCAAAAGATCATTGTACCCTAAATTATATAAAGTTTCATGCAATTTAATGTATGAAAGAACATACATAATATAATGTAATATACTTTATATGTGGATATAATCTTACCTCCTTTTCACGGATCTTGACTCCCTTTTCCTTTTACTTTCCAAGCATATATAAAGGAAGGAGAACTTGAAGAACATAATGCTCCTTGTTAAGAAATTTGTAAATACAGGGAAAGTTCTAATCTCATTCCCTACAAGATTTCTCACAAAGGCCATAATCCCATTTCCTAACAGTATTCCTGGAGGAACCCCAATTCTCATTGTGCCAAAAAAATGAGTTCTAGTTCTGTTCAGTAAACCACTGGGAAACTGAATCCAAGCCTTGTGATTACCTCTTCATTACAAATATAAGGTTCATTCAAAGTTCAAATCCGTTTTGACAGTGAGATGACCTTGATTCCTTCAAAAATGAAAAAGGTGAGACTTTGGACTATTGACTATGAGGTTCAGATTTGTCTCTTCCCTTTAAAATTGTTACAAAAAGCCTGCATCTTGCTCATATGACTTCCTACTGCATTTATATCTGAACAATATACATAATAGCCCAGGGACCCACAACTAGCTTAATGAAGCCTGTATAGAGATGCAATAAAAGACTGAGGATTTATTCTTTGGTGCTTCACTTTTGTTAAAGCAACCAACAAGCTTGCTTAGCAGTATGGCAAGAAATAGGGCTATCACAAAGATCACAAAAAGCAACAAATGCTGGTCAGACTGCAAGCAAGGGCAGAATAAACGCTTCCACATTCTTGGTGAGAATGTAAACTGATGAAAGAACGTAAACTGTGGAAATCAGTATGGAGATTTCTCAAAAAGCTAAAAAGAGAAATTCCACTCCACCCAGCTATTCCTCTCCTGCGTACACTCATAAAAGATATCATAAGATTGTGCTACATGTATATCCACGTTTATAGCAGCACAACAACAGCTAAGCTCTGGAAACAGCTTAGATGCCAGTCAACAGACAACTGTTTACATATATTATGGGATATATATATCCATTTATATATAATATATATATCTCCATTTATATATATTCAACAACAATAAAGGATGAAGTGATGTCGTTTTCAGGCAAATGGATGGATTTGAGATCATAATGTTAAGTGAAATAAGTCCAACACAAAAAGTTAAATACCACATGTTTTCTCTCATAGAAGAAACCTAAAATATAAATAAATAGGGCTGGAGATTTAGCTCAGTGGCATAAGCGCCTGCCTGGCAAATGTGTGGTCCTGAGTTTGATCCCCGGTACCACAATACATAAATAACTAAGTAAAACTGTAGTAAAGGAGAGGTGGTAGGAAACAAAAAGGCAGACTGTTTGAAGATGATGAAGGGGATGAGGAAAGCAGAGGAACAAAAAATGAGCAAGAATATTGATTATATATGCATTATATATTGATATATAATCAAACTAAAAAATGTTCTATATAGCAAACATACACTAATAGAGAGAGGAAGCAGAATGACATGAAAACTAATCTTGGTCAAGGCGTAACTGAGGGAAACAACACTGAGGCTGCAGCAGTTTTGATGTGAGCAAATCACAAGGGTAATTTTCTGGCATAGTGATGTCTTTCAACTCTGCTCTCCCCTCTCTTCCAGCTCCTCTGTTTACTCACTGTCATGGGCCAGCAGCTCTCCAAGACTCCTAATGATGAAGAACACCAGGATTTTTTCTCAAGTTTTGAATATTTTAAGAACTTACATATGAAAAACAAATTCATCCCTCAAGAAACCATCACTGCAATCGAGTTACACTTGAAAAAAGGAGACATTCGGGCAACAAATGCTGTGATCACTACTGCATTAAAAGAAATCAATAGTACACAACTCAACATTGCTGTGACAGGGGAATCTGGAGCAGGAAAGTCCAGCTTGATCAATGCACTTAGAGAGGTTAAGCATGACTCCAAAGATGCAGCTCCCACTGGGATAACTGAAACAACCATGAAGAGACAGCCATACACTCATCCAAAGATTCCCAATGTCACGTTGTGGGACTTACCTGGCGTAGGAACCACCAATTTCAAACAAAAAGATTATCTTCAGGAAGTACAGTTTGCTGAATATGACTTTTTTATTATTGCTTCTGCTACACACTTCAAGGAAAGTGAAATAGAACTGGCCAAAGTGATCAGACTTATGAAAAAAAATTTGTATTTTGTGAGAACCAAGGTGGACCTTCACATAACAAATGAAAAGAGAAGTAAACCATCCACATTTAATAAAGAGGCAGTCTTGCAGGAAATCCGAAACAACTGTCTGGACAACTTGAAGAAGAATGGCATGATCGAACCACAAGTCTTCTTGATCTCTAACAAAGATTTATCTAAGTATGATTTCCCAATCCTAATAAATGCCCTAATAAAGGACATCCCTGTTCAAAAGCAGCATGCTTTTATGCTCTCCTTGCCTAGTATTACTGAGGCAGCCATTGAAAAAAAGCGAGAGTCTCAAAAGAAGTACATCTGGCTAGAAGCCTTGGTGGGTGGACTATTGGCTACCCTTCCTGCAGTGGGCATGATGAGTGCCGAAGACATGAAGAAGCTGAAAGCAAGTTTAAACCACTTTCAAGTCCTGTTTGGAGTGGATGATTCATCACTGAAGAGTTTGGCTAAGGATTTGCAAGTGCCGATGGAAAAACTCAAGGCAATGATGAAATCTCCAAATTTGTTGGAAAAGGATAATGAAAAAAACCTAATGGAAAAACTTTTGGAATATGTGGAGAAATTCTGTTCAGTTAATGGAGGTCTGCTTGCTACAGGATTTTACTTTAGTAAAATTTCTTACTTGAAACTGCATTTCCTTGACACAGTGGCTGAAGATGCTAAAATCATCCTTAAAGAAGCAATCACATGCAGTGCCACGGGTTTAGCTCAGCAGCATTAAGGCTTGCCTTGCAAGCACGCAGTCATGAGTTTGATTCCCGGTACAAAAAAATAAAGAATCATATTCAAAATTCAAACTTACCCCACCCTAAAGCTGCTGATTGTAATAAAACCTAATGTTCAACACCAGAGTCATAGGTAAATTCCCCATTCTAATATATTTTCTTTAGAAGTCCTTGCACCTTAATTATGGAAAAATGCTATCTCAGGGAGTTAAGTCTGATAAAAATTAGTATACAGTCAGACAGAGACTAGATTCTCAAAGAAAGTCAGTGAAAAATAAAGACATCAGAATTGTGACTGGAGGTGCATCTGAAACAGGCTAGGCCTCTAATGACCAGTTGTATATATCTCCCTAAGAGATAGACATTATATTGACTTATATCCTGTACTTATTATACCACTCAGTCTAGTAATTCCAGATAGGAATCAGTTGTCCAGGTGGGTGACCAGAATATATGGCCCCATTCTGTCCTCAAAATGTCTTTGTTCTTTCCATGCACTCTTGCTTCATGACTCATTTCATTACTGGATCAATACTAGCTAAGCAGCTATATCTGTAATCCTATAATTGATTATAGTTTGACCCACATTGTACCTACACTATGACTTTGTAGTAAAACTACCCCTGACAGAGGGCGTCAGTGGCTACCATATTTGTGACCCTTCTTGGAAATTCAGTTCTTCTTTCCTCATTTCCAATAAAATTCTCCTAACTTATTCTTTTGGTTAATGACTTAATTTCTAGATTGTGGGACCACAAACTTGACACATTTGACATCCAACATGTTAGAAATTATATTTTTCCTATGTTATTCCCATTGAGCCTGTCTTGCAGAGTGGCTATTACAGTCTATAGCCCCCTGTTTTATTTTGCTTTTTTTTCTATTCTGTTTTATACTGAGGATTGAGCCCAAAGCCTTAGTATTGAGCTACATCCCTAGTGTTATAGGCAGCTGAGTTAGATAGAAATGTTATAAGCAGTCAGACAGAGCTGGGCCCTCAAGGGAGCCAGTGCAGAAGACCAGACATTTTGTAACCTTGGAAGAGACAGACAACTCCAACCATGGGCCAGACTTCAACACAAAAGATCAAACAAATACATCCAAACCCAATCTCCTAAAGGAAGAGTCACTGCTCTTTAAACATGCTACAAGACTTGCTTCCCCATTTGTCCATGATTTGGTCCATTTTACCTGAACAATTACCTGAACCCCTAGAAAAGATAGTCTTTGGTAACCCATTCAGGACCCCTTCTATCGCTCTCTTTCAGACAAAAGCTTTCTTTTGCTCTTAACCTCTGTTAAAATATTCTGGGGTAATAGAGAAGCAAAAAGTACAAAATGAACGTTTATTGAAGACATGGAAAGGAGCAAACAACTCATGGTGGTTGGGCTATCTCCTTCGACCAGATACATAGAGGCACAAGGAAGAGGCAAGTGGGGAGGATACTGAGGACAAGTGAGGAACCAATTGGAATTCTCTGTGCATGCAAACAATAAGGTAAGTTGCAGTTAGGGATTAAGAAGAAGCAGGAGCTGGTAAGCATTCCTGCTTTGGCCTTCCACCACATTAAACCATTGCCATAATTGCACAGTAATTTATACTAGGGCAAGAACCTTTCATTCCTCTCTTGGTATTATTAGGAAAAGGGTGAAGACTGTCTCTCACTATTTCATGCTGGACAGGGGTGTCATGTCGGAGTCTAGGGAGTTGACAGAATGACAGTTGATGCCTGTGTAGAAGCTGGTACCAGGTGTTTCAGCCAGGAAAAGGAATTAATCATTGGTCAGTGCTTACATCCTAGAGTGTAGAAATAAATATAAGGTGCAATGAGGAGGCAGGTCACTATCATAGTTAAAGGACTCAAGGGGGGGTAAAAGGAAAGGTGCCTTTGATCTGAATGTGTCATTGCATCAGGGCCTTAGTGAGGAAGAATCTGAAAAGTAAGTGTGGAGTTGGAAGGGGTGGAGTTACAAGAGATAATTATTCCCCCTTTGAAAGGGTACAAATGGAGGTAGGACTTGTCCTTGGTTCAGGGAGACAATGGGAAACATGAGAAATGTAGGGCCTCACAGTTGAATCATGTTTGGGAAATTATAAACTGAGGGTGGGAGGGCTGTGGCTGCATCACTGTAAGTGACACAAGATCTTAGGCCTACAGTCTACAGTTTCATGTTTAAACAGGTGAGGGTGGAGAGAACTAAGATCATTGTAGTGAAAAAATTAACTAATGCAATGTAAGGGATCAGGAAACAGGATGACAAAACATGACATAGCCTGAAATAAAGGCAGGACAATTATCTGAATGGATACTCTGAGGCAGACCAGACTTTAGAATGATTTGTTGTAATTGGACCTTAGTAACTACATCAGCAGTCTCCCTGGTTGTGGGAAAGGCTTCTATCTATCCTGAAAAAGTACAAACAAAGGTAAGAAGACATTTGATAGTTTTGCAGTGGGGCATGTGTCCTGACCAGGGGTGTGTCCATGAAATTGATGAGCAGGAAAGGGAGGGGGTAGTATCTATTCCTGAGGAGAGGTTCAAACACAGATATGACAGGTGTGAGTAAGTTAGGTTGTTGAGACCTGAGTGTGTCTGGGTCAGTCTACATAAACACAAAGGGATCCCCACAGAGTGAAGGGGGATAGTTAAAAAGGCATCTTTAAGGTCTAGGACTATGAAACAAGTGGTGAAGGGGGAATATGAGAGAACATGGTATAGGGTTTGGCACCATTGGGTGAATTGGGGCAACATCATCATTGATTACCCTAAGGTCTTTTATTAGATGATAGAACTCATTAGGCTTGAGTATCAAGAGAATGGAAGTATTATAGGATGAATGGATAAGTTTAAGAAAACCATTGTCTAAAATAAATGTTTGGGAGCTATAGGATATTGAGGAACACAAGGAAAAATTGAAGGATCCCTGAGAAGAACTAAAACAGGCATGACATGGGTAGCACTGGTGGGGTAGGAAGTGTGTCAAATTATGGGAACAACAAGGGAAAGCAGGGGACGAGGGGATGGCTTTGCGGTGCATTGTAAGGGTGTTTGGAGAATGAGAGCTGTGGGAAGGGGGAAGGTAAAGGAGAAGTTAAGCCTTTGAAAAAGATCCCTACCTAAAAGGGATGTGGGACATGTTGGAATTACCAGAAAGCTATGGGTGAAGATGAAAGAGTTTGGAACCTGAATGGAACGGGCCCTGTTTGAAAAGGCTGTGTAAGGTTGGCTGTCTACACCCACTACAGAGACTGAGGATTTAACATAATGGCCTAAAAACTCAGGAAGAACACTATACATGACCTCCATGTCTACAAGTACAGATAATGTCTTGCCTGAGACCTCCAGTGGGACTTGAGCCTCTGAGAAGGATACCTTAATGGAGCCTGTGGGCCCCAAGCCCCATCAACCTTCAGCAGCAAGTGCAAGTAGATCAGCCAGTGACAAATCCAGGGGTGATGAGATCTCCTGTGGGGACAAGGAGTTACAGGATGGATGATTTACCTGCTCTCTGGTGGCAAGAACAGTCACTCTTTCAATGGCCCTTGAAATTGCAAAGGGAACATTCTCTCATCCAGAGTCCTTTTTGTCACCCTCAAAGCATAGTCTGGGAGAGGTTTGGGCAGCTCCACCTTTTTTTCAGTTTTCTCAGTTGTCATAAAGCTCCAGCTGTCACTGCTAAAAAATCAGATTATTTTTTTCTTTTGGTTTTTATCTCTGATGTTCAAAAAACATAAAAAGCCATATTAAGAAGCTCTCCCTGTGGGGTTTGAGGGCCAAGTTTAGCCCTTTGTCTTGGATCTGGCCCACAGCAGGAGGTTTCTGTCTCCTCCAAGGTCACAAGCCATCTGGTTCTCTGTCCTACCTCCTTTGAGGCCCATACCCTGTCTGACTGCCTAAAATGTTTTTAACTGACTTAGCTGCTGGTAGCATTTTTCCTCGAAGAAGTAACTCAAACTGCCCTGAGATGTAATGAATGATGACCAATCTGGCTTCTCCAGACTAAAGGGGGTTAAAGTTGTTGGATGGCACTCAGGGATATTCTGCAGAGCTTTTAACTAGTGGCCCTCAGGCCGGGCATGGTGGCTCATGCTTGTAATCCCGGCACTCAGGAGGCTGAGGTGGGAGGATCATTGTGAGTTTGAGACCGGCCTGGGCTACAAAGTGAGCTCAAGGCCAGCCTGAACTGCATAGTGAAACCCCATCTCAAAAAAGACAAAAAAAAACTAGTGGCCCTCAGTAGACTGCAGGCATTTTCATCTTGGGGAGGCATACAGCTTTAAGTCTAGAGGAGAAAAAGGCAAACAACCAATTAAGTATGTAGGGGCCAAAAAATAAAGTCAACAGGATATTTATGAGTATAACTTTAGTAATGGCTTCCCATAAGCAGGATAAGGAGAAGGTCCAGGGCATTTTAGAAATAGGCATATTATTCATTTGTCATACACACATTTAGGTTTTACGATTGTATAAGCACTTCCTGTGCTATTAGAATGTCTACTATCCCTCAATATGCATCATATAACCTTTTTCTGGAAAAGGTCTGGTTGATCCCAGTAAAAGGAATATAAAGGGAATTTAGTATATTTGTTATTGTTTTTATCTATATGATGCCTTTGGGTATGACACTTTTTGGCAAGAACTTTAATCAAAACATGTATAATCAAAGTATACATACAAAATCATGTATAATCAAAGCATGAGCAATAGGGCTGACAGTTAAGTTTAGAAACTGCTTGTAGGTTATAGCAATTGTAACTCATTGCTCTTAGGTCCTTTGTTGATGGGCATTACATAAATTTTAGTTTAAAAATTATCATTTGACTGGTGACATCATATTGGTTTGGCTTGAATATCCTGGCCAGAGCACAAGAAAAAGGCAGATGTTTGGATCTGAAAGAAAATGTTTACCATCATAAACAATCCCAATTTTATATTTAAAGATATGAATATACCATAAAACCAGCAACAATGAATTTTCTTAGTCATATGAACTTTAGTTGGGGTGTCTCCCATAAGGCTATGGGGATTATTGGGGCCTCTGATTAATGAATAAGATCTGGTTAAAGTTACCATTTGGCCACTTTATTATTCATCAATTGAAGTCTTTTCTAATCTCTCCTCACCCCAAGGGATTTTGTTTAACCAATTTTAGCATCATTTTGACCACCTGGCATCTTAGGTGGAAGTATGCTTTTTAAATCTATAACCCAAATAAACCTTGATTAAATGATTTGAAAAAGAAAAAATATTGTTGACCTCAAACATTTGCCTGCTGTTTTGACCTACATGGACAAATGATCTGTACAAGATAAACAGACTGGACAAACAGACAACAGATATATAGACTGACAAACATCTTACAAAATCAGAGTGTGCTCAAATGTATTTGGCCAATTTAACCCATAATAAACAGACTAGTGTGAAACTTTTTGTAGGTTAATTAACAGAAATCTCTTGAAATAAGAATAGCAGAAAAGGAACCTAATCTATGGTTACACTGAGATAGATCTGTGAGGAGAAAAATGAGCATGAACTGATCCCTTGGGATCAGCCTGTTTCCAAAGAGCAAATAAGGATTGAATATCAGAAAACTGTAGAGTGGGAGGTGTAGATGGCCACTAGGCAGCCAACCACCCAGCAGGCATTTGTGTGCAGGTACTGGGTAATCACCACAAAAAGACCACTCATCACCATGCAAGAGGGAAGCACAAGA